ATATGTATCTCGCTAACCGTTCTAGCAATTTGTACCAAGCTCGGTATGGTTATTGTGCTTGCCACATAAAAGCAAACCGTTGAAAATTGTTGAAATCGGACTAAAATTGAGGCCGCTTTTCATATAACGGTAAATTTCAGATATGCTTGAAACTGCAATATTTCGAAATTTAAGGACGCTAATTTACTTAAAATGTATACACCCCGGCTTATCATGTAGCGGTAGCTTTCGGAAAGGTGGAAAACATATATTTAATACTTGCGCCGGGTATTTAATGTTCGGCTCCGCCCGAACTTAGACTTTCTTACTTGTTTTTTTTATTATTTATGTTACCGCATAACTTTGGACCACGTCAACCGATTTCGATAATTCTTTTTGCATCGGAAAGGTAGTGTGTCAGAGGTGGTAATCTGGTTAAGATCCGATCAGTGGATCATCATATATATATATATATATATATTTTTTATATTAGAGTTGAAGTCGGTTTTTTTTTTGCTAAAAAATAACTTGTTTATATTTCATTTATAAAATTTGTTTATTCTACTCTATTACGATTGGACTGATGAGGGCAATTTTTTTACGAAAAAATTATATCGACGTCGACGTTGACAACCATAATAGGGCCGACTATTTTTGTTATCCCAATGCCCAGTGGAAATCCAGCATAAGTTTAGCCGAAATCGCAGTGACAAATTTAACGACAACACGTTCTCGAGAAGGGTGTTTTAAAATATTAAAATAGAAAATGGTAATAATGGTTTGTAATTTATGGAGGTCCATACAAAAACGTTACATTACAAATACATATTAAAAAAAAAAAAAAAAACAAATCCCTTTAATTCAAATCAGTTCTATTTACTGGTTTCCATCGAAATTTTAAACGAGGCAACGAAAAAATGCTACTTAACTTCCGTTAATTCGATTTAAAATCAGTTCTATCGCACCAAAACTTGAACAGTTATGGAAGCAGCTAGTACTGCTGCTCAATCTTTCGAAGCAAAAGGGTAAATTAACACTGCAATTTTTTGTACTTGGCCCCCTAGACAACTTCGTAGTCATAAGCAGTAAGTATCCGGCTCGAATGAGCGGGGGACCAAGTTGAATATACTAACACAAAATATTTATTCAATTAAAAATTGTTTGTCAGTTGCCATCTCTGCATGCTGTTCGACATACAAAGCATCGAAGGCTTGTGGCGCTAGGGCTTTTGCTTTATGAAAGTGTGAAGGAGGTTTTGGCGGATGCGCCAAACTAGTATTGAGGTATCTACGTACCAACTTGCTTCGAGCTTCTCCTCCGACTTGTANAACACAAAATATTTATTCAATTAAAAATTGTTTGTCAGTTGCCATCTCTGTATGCTGTTAGACATGCAAAGCATCGAAGGCTTGTGGCGCTAGGGCTTTTGCTTTATGAAAGTGTCAAGGAGGTTTTGGCGGATGCGCCAAACTAGTATTGAGGTATTTACGTACCAACTTGCGTCGAGCTTCTCCTCCGACTTGTGGCGTGCGCCTTGATGTGGTCACACAAAGCGGAGGGACCTACAGTTTTACGCCGACTCCGAACGGCGATTGTATTTTAATGAGAAGCTCGGCCAAACACTAACATATGTGTAAGCGCCAATCTATAATTATTACGTACCAACTTNCTCGGCCAAACACTAACATATGTGTAAGCGCCAATCTATTATTATTACGCACCAATTCGGAATGTTAATGCCGGGATCCCGGTATTTTTTAATTTCCGAAAATCCCGGTATTATTTGCCAAGAACCCCGGGATTTTCGAGATTTGTAATTTACACTGGTGGCTATAATAGAAACGCCTTATGTTGACCAGTTTTAGCTATATTTCCGTTTGTTTATTTAATATTTTACATATAATAAATGCCTTGTGACATGCAATTTTACAGACAAAAAAGCAATGCATTCGCGAAACTAATTGCGTTCTTAATTTTTCTCTCTGACGTCAGGATTTTTTAAAAGAAACTTGAAATTTGAAAGTAATGAGTTAAAAGTAATCGCCGTTCGGAGTCGGCGTAAAACTGTAGTTCCGTCCGCTTTGTGTGACAACATCAAGGCGCAAGCCACTAGTCGGAGAAGCTCGGCCAAACATTAACATATGTGTAAGTGCCAATCTATTATTATTATTATTATTATTATTATACTGACATTTTATTTCAGTGTAATGATTACCCTACTTAAATACCATGCAACCCTTTACTAAAAGTCCTTTCAAACCTTTTTTACGCTATGACATTTCCTGCCGCTGAGCAGTTCTTTGGAACGAAGAAGGAGATAAAAGTCGATGGGAGGCAGCAGGGAGGGTGTTCATGCTATCCGTAGCCCACTGCTTGTATGGCAGCCATCGCAACATTAGTTTTGTGTGCGGGTGCATTGGCTCAATGAAACAAAAATTTTACTCCGAATTTGCTCGCCTTTCCGCAACCACCTTATTGAATTTTTAACTGTGCTTATATTACTAGCTCCCTTTTGCAAATATCCAATTACCATAATTCCTTCATATCGTCGGTGATACTGCAAAACGGTCTATGTTTATTAGTACCCCTTACCATAGAACGTTTTGCAGTATCACCAACGATATATTACTTGGTATAATTTTCGGCGATTCTTTAGAAATTAAAAAAAAAAAANGTATCACCAACGATATATTACTTGGTATAATTTTCGGCGATTCTTTAGAAGTTTAAAAAAATAACTGATTAATTAGTTTAAAACTATCTTGGTTAAACCATATTTTAATGAACTAACTTTTTATAAACAAATTCGCATTTTACCACAATGTTTGGTGAATCATAATATGAAATTGTCTCAGTTGAAGATATCTCACTTAACGCGTTTGAAAAGTAAATAAATATTAATGTGCAACAATGTGTAAGTAACAAGTATATAAGATGTAACATTTTTTTTTTGTTTCAAAATGTTCCGAGTTTGAACTGTTAATAAAACTGTGTCAGTTAAAAATGATGAAAAAGGCAGACTAGTTTTGTATATTAGAGAGCTGCAGAACTGAATCATGGTATATGGCATGGCTATATGTATGTATATAAAAAATAAAAATAAAAAACGACGACGATAAGGCATTAAGTTCTCAGAGAGCACATTAGCGAGACATTTGAATAATGAAGGTAGGTTAAAAAACTTAACATAAATATTGCTTGCTTGTGCGAAATTCGCTCAAATAGTGGGTGGGTAAATTTCGATTTAAAGTTGGTAAAGATAAAGATAGATGTGATTAAATGTGCAGTTATAAATAGGTGCGTGCATGTGCGTGTGGTTAATTTATACTTATTGAATTTATAGACTAATAACTTTGGCAAGCGGATGAAATTCCAATGGCGCTGCAGCATTTAAGAAACATGACAGGTCTCATCGTGCATTTGGTCGCCACCATTTGAGAAGCCATTCTCATCTAAGGTGGATAGAGCGCCACCTTGCAGCACTTTATTGACAGCAGCACGCGCCAAATAGCCGGTGGATTCGGTATAATATAAAGCATAGAAAGGAGTCATGTTATTGTCATTTTGGCGTTCGATGTTATTATCCTGAAAAAGTGATATTGCAATTAAGTAAATTTAAAGAAAACCACTATAATTCGCTTGTGTTTGTAAATACCTTGCAATACATGGCGAATGCCTCGCTGAGTATGTCATCTATGTCAAGCGCTTGCTTGAAATGTAACTCAGGATTGCTAAAAATAAATGAATTCGTTAATCGATATGCATATATGTAGATATACTTGTTTTCTAAGATAAATTGAAATTAATATTGTATGCAGGATGACCAATAAAAGCTTCACATAGATCAAAAGAACTGAATCGTTGCTTACAAATCTGAGGCAATGTTACAGAACATTTCTTCGAAGAATGGCTACTGCCTCTACCCCAATATAACCTGAGCTCTTTCTTGGGATAGGTCCTAGCATGACAAAGAAAGCGCTCAGAAAGGAAAATACCTAACTCACTGGGATTTGCATTAGCGAAACACCAGGAGTCTTCGTCAAGCTTTGAGACTACAAGAGGGCTATAAGCTAAAGAGATACAGGCAACTCATAGGCCTACCCAAGGAGAGGCAAAGAATTATTACAGTAGCAGTACAATTAGTGCTTACTCTATTTATATATATATCTATAGAGCATTTCCGACCTCTTTGGAGAATTTTAGTAGACGCTTTGGTCCTTGACGATTGCTAATTGTAGGCTGGACTTCATGTAGTAATAACGCTTGTCTTTGTCTGCTGAAAGCTGGACACTCACAAATTATATACTCCACTCTTTCTCGGAAATAGTTACTATTTCTACACTTTGTTTATTCCACTAAACCTAGTTTAAATGCTTGCGCTGTAAGCATGCAGAGAATTTATTTTTAACAAATTAATCATACGACTGAGGATGTTACGATTCGTGCGTTTGTTTCATTAATATTTCAGGAATTTTTTCCAATATTATTTAACTTCTTACCGATTCAATATCGTCGCTAT